CTGACAGTGGCTCTTCTCTTGCTTTACACATTTGTTCCATCACAAGGTCCTGGGAAACAATTGTTCTCCTCCATTAGAATGGGGGGTATATGAATCTCTGGGAGACAGCTAACTGCAAGGCAATAGGAGTTATTTACCGGTTAGCTACCGAGGCAGTGACAGTAGTAACAGCAGCAGCTACCTCTCTCTGCTGATCCTCCTATGCTCCCAACTGCTTCTCATTGCTAAAAGATGCCTTCAGGTGTCTGTGTTGGGTTGAAAGCTAATGCTGCGCAGAAATGTGCCTGGCAGTTTCCTGTCCTTGTGAAAGAAGTTTCCATTTTTCAAACTTATTCTTGGGATGCTTGAGAATTTCTTTCAAATTTCTCTTGTTGATGTTTCTAAGCTTAGTTGTTAGTGATGGAATAAGTCTTATTGCTTTGTTACATGTCTTTCTGTTGCTTTCAAGCTTCCTTTGTTGCCCACATTTCCCAAGCTGAACCCCAGGAAAAGGAGTGTGCTCACAAGGCCTTCTCTTCAGATTTAACTGATGTATGGGAAGGGAGCAGACCACTGGAAAGAGAACAGTAATGAAATCCTGGTTATTTTAAAACACTTTGGCTACTTCATTAGTTCAAGTACACCACACTCCACTCTTACAATTTCACCAAAGTTCTCTTGCTTTTTAAAAGACATTTTGGAAATGAATTATCTTTCATTAAATTGATGGGGGGAAATGCTTTCTTTCTTTTCCACCACAGTAGTAAAAACTGTTAAATAGACAAAGTGTATTGATTTGTATCAAAAAAAATCTACCAGGCATTATTCAACCAAAGTTAAACATATTGCTGTTCTTGTTGCTATAAATATGGATTTAACAATCAAGAGCAGGCTGGACTATTATTATTGGCAGGCAAACAGATTTCCACTAGACGTTAGGCAAAACTTCCTCATGGTAAAAATTGTTCAAAGCATGGAACGGCTTGATTGTTATGGTCATGTAGAAACTGGATTGCCACCTGCTACAGATCTATACATCCAGTTAGAAATTCCTGCATGTAGAAGAGAGGTTGCATAAAATGACTTCTTAAACATCTTCCAATTTTAGGATTGGAGTCATACAGCATATCATGCTGCAGTGTGTCTTATGTGATCTTGGCTAAGTATGTTGTGTGAATGCCACTCTGGTGGTTTGTAGTCCATAGCAGATGACTTAGTCTATTGCTATTTATTCAATAAAGTAGAGTCAAACCAACCATGCTTTAGGGCAGTGTATGAACCAGACTTATGATTCTATTAATTTTATAACTAAGAAATCCAACCGTACAATCATAAGCAGGAATACATTTTTTTTGTTTTGTTTCTTAGATTTTTATCGTGCCTTTTTTTCACATTCAGGTAGTCCTCAGTTTAAGAACAAGTTTTGTTCCCAAGGTCTGTCCTTAAGTTGAATTTGTATGCAAGCCAGAACAGTATTATTGTATAATAAGTTATAAGTGGTCACTTTTATGTGAGATGGACGGCTATATAAATATGATAAATAAATAAATAAATAAATAAATAAATAAATAAA